TAAAGCATAAAATATTTTTTCAAACTTATAAACTCATTCTTTAAAAACTGAAGAAAGAAAACCTAAATGACAATTAGATTGAAATGTCCTTAGCAACCAAAGAAGACAGTGAGGTCATAACTTCTAAATGAGTAACACACACACACACACACACACACACACTAAATTTTAACTCCAATTCAATGGATTAATGCAATTTCAAAAATTATGAAAATGAAAATAATTTAGAAACTTTAGAAAGTATGTATGAAACAATATTGAGTAAATGTGAGAGATTCTTATATATATTGTGATCATAACTGTATGTAACTGTTTTTACTGTCTTATCTGTTGCTTTATAGTAAATACCAGAAAAGTGATTTTTAAATGGGGAAAGGAGTTGAATGCTTTTTAATAGACACATATATAAGAAGAAGGAATTAAAGAAAGTGAAAATGAAACCAAGAATGGGTAAATATTCTTAGAGGGTGTTAAAAGTGTTTTTATACCTTTGAAACTATGGCCCTGGAACTTGGCCCTATGGCCTGACAATATAAGAGGGGGTCACTTCTGTTGAATAGATTGGCTCTAGAAGTAAAATGTTGCTTATATAGTAAGGGCTACTAAGTGTTTGTTTTTGTTTCCATAAATTACAACAGTCCCATGGGGGCCAAAATTCAGAGTTACATATTCTGAAAATGGTATTAAGATCTCTCACAAAGTAAAAATAAGCCATAATATCTCAAACTTTTAACTCCTTTCTGAAGGAGTCTGTCTACCATTGAAGCCTCTGTGTTCCCTATTCAAATTGAGCACATGGGTCCTCAGATCAAAAGTGCATTGTAAGTACCAAGCAAGATAAATGAAAATAAATCCACACCTAGAGAAATTCTCTTTTCCCAGTTTTATTCTTGCTTCTAAACAACCCTACACTTATCCTATTCAGTGACCATCTCCCACTAAATTATCATGGCTGACAGCCCATACTCTTTATTTTTCACAGAGTGTGAGCAGGGGAGGGGCAGAGAGAGAGGGAGACACAGAATCTGAAGCAGGCTCCAGGCTCTGAGGTGTTAGCACAGAGCCCAACACGGGGCTCAAACCCACAAGCTGTGAGATCATGACCTGAGCTGAAGTTGGACACTTAACCAACTGAGCCATCCAGGTGCCCCTTTTTTCACTTTAAAGAGAGAGAGAGTGAGTGGGGGAGAGAGGCAGAAGGAGAGGAGAGAGAGAGAGAGAGAGAGAGAGAGAGAGAGCAAGACAGAGAGAGAGAAAGAGAGAGGGAGAGAGAGAGAATCCTAAGCAGGACCCACACTGAGCTCAGAGCCCAATATGAGGCTTGATTCCATGACCCTGGGATCATGACCTGAGCTGAAATCAAGAGTTGGAAGACCAATGAACTGAGCCACCCAGGCGCCCCCCAGCCCATACTCTTTGGAACTTACTAAACACTCTACTAAAATGATGAATTACTTTTGGGATAAGATACTACCTACTGGGTTGCATGAATGTATTTCAAAAGACCCTGAAACAGTAGCTTAACATGGAATGACCCCAATAGGACAACTATTAGGCTTCATGACAATTCTTTGGGAATTTTGCAATTAAGTCTGAAGTATCTGCTCACCTCTAGGTAGTGATTTTAGTGACCACTATCAACAGTAGCAGGAAATAGGAGTGAAAGTAACCACATATATAAACATAATCTCCATGCAACCATCCGCTGGGAACCTGCAAAAATCTGGGGGAAAACAGTGGACCTTTCCATAAGATGTGGAATAAGGGTTTGACCCAATTTTATGTAAATTTTAAAGTGAAAAAAGACTTTCAGTTATACTCCGGGTACATTCATTGAGCCAGAGGTATTGATCAAAAGAAATGGGAAGCACTACCAGACAATAAGAGAGCCATCAACAAAAGTCAAACAAGAAAGAAATTTCCTTCTGATGTGTGAGCTACTGATTTTCCAAATACCACTCTGGCTCCAGCTTTAAAGAGTTACAGAGGCGCTGGGACAGCAGCAAACAGAACTTGACAGTTAAATGTGTCTCTCCAAGGGGCACCTAGAAATTCCCTTAGCTTTATAAATACAAAGCACAAATTGTAACCTAATTCTGCAAGGCCCTCCTTCCCTTTTCAGTCTTAAACTCTCATCCAGTTTTCATCTGAAGGGCAGAGGTGGCCACTATAATGTCTAATTTCCACAACTAGGGGAAGACACAAAAGATATGGGGGAGAGGAAACACAAAATTATTTTGCTGCACTGCTTTATCTCTGCCATCAAATAAATCATTCAACCCTGCATTTTTGCTGCAGATTAACTGGGCCAACTGCATCTCCTTTCTTCCCTTGGATCCCTGCCTGTGGCCGGGTCAATGCTCACCAACTCAGTAAGCAGTCCTGAGAAGAAAGACAGATAAAATTCAGTTGATTCTTCCCCTTCTTTAAAAAAGAATGATATCTGTTTTGTTGTTGTTCTTCTTTTTGTTGTTTTTAATAGCATGTGAAGCATTGACAATGCTACATTCTAATTCTAATCCGGTATCACCATTTTCCTATCCCAATATTGCAATTTTTATTGCCAAATATATAGCTTATACTTTTATTTATTTATTTATTTTTTATACTTTTAATGCCATAAAACTTAAGCAGTTACCATTTGGGGGGTTATTTTTAAGGTTTCAATACTGGTAATTCTCTTTTCTGAGGTTAAGAAGTGTCCAGGCAGTTTCAAAGTTAAAACAAGGGCAAAAGTGACATCTGGACTCAGTTTTGATAGGGTTTCTCAGCTTTATTCTCACTTTCAGTGTGCAGAATCAGAAAGTTTAGGGGAAAATGGTATCTCAGTTCAGATGTTTCTAAAAATTTGTTTCTAAGCCATTTTTCTTCAATTTTCCCCCACGTCATAAGAGCTGGGCTGGCCACTGTAATGAGAAGGGCGGGGGGCCCAAGCATTAGAGACAGCTGAGGTGTTGGCTATAGGGAAGGTGGAGGACGTGCTGGTGGGGATCTTGTGACCTTGGCTGAGACATAAGTGACCTTACCCAACAAAGTTGTTTGTATCTTCAAGGAACAAATCCTACCACTTATGAACAGTTCATGAGCAACAGTTAGGAGAGGAAGCATAATGTCAAGGTTAAGTGAATAGATGCTGAATCTACACTGTGGGGTATGAATCTAAGCTCTGCCACTTATACCTATGTTGGTCTTAGACAAATTACTTAACCTCTCTGGGCTCTTTTCTACATCTATAAAATGGTGAATCAAAATAAGACCTAAAGCAGCAAATTATTGTGATGTTCAAATGAGTTATTATTTATAAAATGCTTATAACAGTACCTGGCACAAAGTAAGTGCTACATCTAAGTATTTGTCAAGTAAATAAAATAGGAAGTAGAATGGGAAGGGCTTCCTGCTGGATAATGTTCTCCAGAGACTTGTCTTAGCCCCTTTCTCTCTTACTCTTGCTCACATATACCTTATGCCTCCCCAAGAGCTAAAGTTAGCAGGTTATTGGCCCTGGATCGTAGAAGCTTCTGTTCTGGCCTAAACCAGTGAAGTGGTCAGTTAGCACATCTATAGACCTCATACTCATGGACTCAACAAGCTCCAAGGTGCTAAGTAGAAAACAGAAATCACAAAAGGCCTGTCCCAGCTAGCATCAATCTGAGGGAGCATCTCTCCCTAGAACCTTGACTCCTCATCACAGACAGCAGGCATGAGGCCAATGGCCATGGGCCCGGTGTGCAGCCCTCTGGAGGAGGTGAACTCACCAGCATGCTGGTTACTGAGGGGCAGCCTGCCTCCTGCCATGGCCATGCTTGGGCTCAGCTCACCCTCCCTTCCTGCCCCACATCAGAACTGGGATGGTTTCTCTCTTGGTGCTGAGGGTGTGGAAAATGAGCAGCAGGAAGGGGCGGGAGAGGAGAAACTAAAGGCACCCAGTCACAGGGTGTGCGGCAGGAACCTCGATCAATCCCAGTTTATAGATGAAGAAACTGAAACTCAGAGAGGAGCAGCAAACAGGGAAGATCTGAGTTTTGTGAGGCCTGAGTCTTCTAAAACATCTTTGTTGGGGGTGGGGAGGGACGGGGAGTTCTCTTTAAGAGAAAGAATATAGAATTCAAAACAAAATGCCCATGGCCACTACAGTGGCACCCAACAGAAGGAGAATGTGATGGAGAGGAAAGCTGCAGTGGAAAAAGACAGTGGTCTTAACTATTGTGGTTAAAATATCATATTGATGAAAATTTTACCAAAGCAGGAGACTCATGATCACACTACTAGGGCCCCTTATGGAGGCTCAGAGGGGACTTTGGAAAGTGTGAGAATCCCTGAAGCTCAGCTTCATTCACTTCATGGTGAATCCACAGATGCAACAAGCTGAAGGTCACTGAGGTAGGTAGCAGGGCTGGGCTTCTTGATCTTTCCAGTAAACAGTGGCAACTATGATCTATGGGCATGGGCTGGTAGGGAAGGCAGTGGAGGAGGAAAGGGAAGGTAGGGAACATGGAAACCAGTGGTCCCTAATGGAAGGATTTCAGAAGCCCATCAGCTATTTTCTAAAAGCCAGAGAATGCCAGGAATGGGGACAGAGAAGACCAGAAGGAAGTATGTGTGGAGCAAAAGAGTTAAGCCTCAGTGGTGTCAGAGCAGGGGCCTTCCCATAGCTCCCTGGGTGTTGCTGGACAGGCCAGTGTACCTTACTTTGTGTATCCAGTACCATGGGTATAAGATGGCAAAGGAGGAGGATGTGCAGAGGGGTGGAGCTCCATCCCAGGCTACACCTGCCATTGGTTGAGATACCTGTTCTTAATCATGATGCTTCCTTCTTCTGCAGAAAAGTGTTTGTTTGTTTTTTTTTTGTTGTTGTTGTTGTTGTTGTTTAATGTGGTATTGTGCAGCACTGTGTAGAAATTAAGTAAAATCCATCAAGTCTCAGGCCTGGGCTCAAAATGGTCAACTCATTGGGAGACAGTAGAAGGATTCTAGGACTTTACAAAGTCAAAGGTTCTTACCAGAGAGCAGGAGGGCCATCACAAGGAGAGTGTGACTCAGTCCCATAGTGCTAGAGTTAAAAAAAGAAAAGATAAAATTTGATTAGAAAATGACACTGAAAATCAAAACATGACATGTGGAGTTTGAGATTCACTTAGGCCCACGGATGTGGCAGAGACCATGCTATGTATTCACCAAAGCTATTTCCTTTTCCTCCTGGCTCCACAGATATGCCCTACACCCCAGCCTCCCCTGCAATTAGGTGGGCCACATGATTGGGGTTCTAGCCAGGGGAATAGTAAGCAGAAAAGACTGGTGTTGCTTCCAGACCTGCCAACAAAGCTTCCTCTTTCTTTGTTCCCTCTCCTGCCTTCTTAGATGCAAAGAATCCAGAGGAAGAATCCAAGGCCCCAGAGGATGGCAAAGCCTCACTATGAAAGGAACTGGTTTAGTGAACAAATTAATGAAACAGCTCTTTCCACCCTAAAGTGATCAATATTGGACTGTAGCATGAGCAAAACATAAACTTTTATTGTGTTAAGCTAATGAAATTTTGGGGATTATTTATTGGAGTAATTAGCATTACTTATCTTGACCAATACAATGGGTTTGATGGGACAAATAAAGAGTATGTTTAGCAATCAACTTGCCTTTGGTTTCCCTGTGATTCTCGAACTTTAATGTGCATAAAAATCATCTAGCAGATCATGTTAAAGTAGTTATTTGGGCCTTGTCCATAGAGATTCTGAATTAGTAGGCAGGGTGAAACCCATGTCTAACGAACTCAGAGGTGATGCTGCTGCTGCTGGTCTAAGGACCCCTCTTTGAGAACATGATGGAGCCAAAGAAAACAATAGGCATTGCTTTATACTCTCATCTCTTTCTTCCTCTCCACCCTCCCTCTTTCTTTACTCACCCATTTACCCCAACTTAGACAAAAAAGGCTGTAGAATGGCTTACAGGGAAGCATAGAATAGGGGAGAATGACCAAAATTAGAAACAGTTGAAAAGCAAAACAAATGCAAGAATAAAAAATGGAGCCTTGTACAAGCCCAATGCTAAATGTTTACCATAGAAATCTGCTCATCCTGCATGGTTCAGGTCATAAGTTTGGCCTATAGCTTTTTACCAAAGTGAAAATGAAAACCTAATTGGTGAATTAATCTACAGATCTAATTAAGATACAACAAACCAATGCCCAGGAGAAGATGCACAACTATTTCTTATCCAATAGAAGAAATGTCTTCCTTCGGGGTGTCTGTCGAGGAGCCATCTCTGATCCATTTGGGCTATGCTAGATACCCTTTCTCTCTGCTCCCATAGCACTCAGCATAGAACTTTGGGCTATAAGTGTCTGTTATGTTTCTTCCCTTCTAGACTATAACCTCTTTTTTTTAGTTAAAAATCTTTGAATAGATTATACCTGCACATGGAACTAAATTTAAAAGTTAAAGGTGATAAATAGTGGAAAGCAAGTCTCTCTCCCAATCTGTCCCCTAGCTATCTAGTTTTCCTCCACAGACATAACTGGAGTGACCACTGCTATCTGTTAAGTTTCTTGCCTAGACTTGCAGTTATTTTAAGTAAAGCAGAATGAAAACATAGACCCATATTCTTTTTTCATTTCATTTTTAAACACTAGTGGTAGTATTTTATACACAATTTTGCACACTTGCCACTAGCTTAGAGGTTGTTCTGTATCAGCATGTACTGGGTATCTTCATTCTAACAGTTGCATATTCTGTTGTATTCTATTGAGTGATAATAATTTATTTTACCAGCCTCTATCAATAGATGTATTTTGCTGCAATGAAAAACCTTGATCATATGCAAAATCACTGTGGGAGTAAGCTATCTTCCTAGAGGTAGAATGGCTTGACCAAAGGGTCAAATTTAATTGCAATTTTAATATTTGAAACATTGAAAAATTGTTTTCCCCTAAGATTATATGTTTATGTCCCCTATGAGCATGCTTCTTTTCACATAGCTTTTGCCAACATAACATGTTTTCTAATTTGTCATCTTTACTAATAAGGAAAGTTAAGATGACACCTCATTGTAATTTTCATTTCTATTATTTAAAAAAATTTTTAAAGTTTATTTATTTTTGAGGGAGAGATAGAGTTTGAGCAGGGGAGGGGCACGGAGAGAGGGAGACACAGAATCTGAAGCAGGCTCCAGGCCCCAAGCTGTGATAATAGAGCCTTATGTGGGGCTCAAACCCACAAACCGAGAGATCATGACCTGAGTCAAAGTGGGACACTTAACCAACTGAGCCACCCAGGTGGCCCCTCATTGTAATTTTTAAAAATTATTTTTTGGGGTGCCTGGGTGGCTCAGTCAGTTAGGTGTCCAACTTCAATTCAGGTCATGATCTCACTGTGAGTTCGAGCCCTGCAACAAGCTCTGTGTTGATAGCTCAGAGCCTGTAGCCTGCTTCGGACTCTGTCTCCCCTCTCTCTACCCTTCCCCCACTCACACTGTCACTCTCTCTCTCTCTCTCAAAATAAATAAACATAATAATTAAAAAATTTTTTAATTATTTTTCACTCTGGTAAAATACACATAACCTAAAATTTACCATTTTACCCATTTTTTTTTTGACAGAGAGCACACACATGCAAATGGGGGAGGGGCAGAGGGAGAGGGAGAGAGAGAATCTTCAGCAGCCTCCATGCCCAGCATGTTGTGGGGCTCAATCTCATGACTGTGAGATCATGACCTGAGCTGAAATCAAGAGTTGGAGTCTTAAGTGACTGAGCCACCCATGCGCCACCCACCTCCGCTCTTTTTTTGAGAAAAAGAGAGAGCACATCTTACTCATTTTTAAGTGTACAGTGGTTTTAAGTACAATTACATTATTGTGCAACCATCATCACCATCCATATCCAGAACTCTTTTCATCTTGCAAAACAGAAACTCATTACTTACTAAACACTAGCTCTCTATTCTCTCCTCCACCCAGGCCCTGGAAACCACCATTCCACCTTCTGTTTTCATGAATTTAACTACTCCAGGTACCTCATATAAGTGGAATCATACAGTATTTGTCTTTTTGTGACTGGCTTATGTCACTTAGCATAATTTAATCAAGGTTCATCCATGTTGATTGTATCAGAAATTCCTTCATTTTTAAGGCTTAATAATATCCCACTGTGTGTATATGCCACATTTTGTTTATCCATTCATCTGTTGATGGATATTTAAGTTGTTTCCACCTTTTGGCTGTTGTGAAAATGCTATGAACATGGATGTACAAATATCTCTTTGCAGCCCTGCTTTCATATCTTTTGGGTGTATAGTCAGAAGTAGAATTACTGGTCATATGGTAATTCTATTTTTAATTTTTGAGGAACTGGCATACTGTTTTCCACAGCAGCTGCATACTTTTACATTCCCATCAATAGTGCACAAGAGTTGCAATTTCTCCACATGTTTGTCAACATCTGTTATTTTCTTTCCCTATGGTATTCATCCTAATGGATGTGAGGTGGTTCTTATTGTAATTTTATTTTTTTAATTTTTATTAAAATTTTTTTAAGTTTATTTATTTATTTTGAGAGAGACAGAGACAGTAGTGCACGTGGGGGAGAAGCAGAGAGAGAGGGAGAGAGAGAATCCCAAGCAGACTCCACACTGTTGGCATGGAGTCCAATGCAGGGCTCAAACTCATGAGACCATGGGATCATGACCTGAGCCAAAACCAAGAGTTGGACACTTAACTGACTGAGCCACCCAAGCACCCCTCTCACTGTAATTAAAACAAAATTTTTTTTACATTTATTTGTTTTTGAGAGACAGAGAGATACAGAGCACAAGTGGGGCAGGGGCAGAGAGAGGAGACACAGAATCCGAAGCAGACTCCAGGCTCTGAGCTATCAGCACAGAGCCTGATGTGGGACTTGAACCCACAAACCGTGAGACCATGACCTGAGCCGAAGTCGGACGCTCAACCAACTGAGCCACCCAGGCGCCCCTCACTGTAATTTTAGAATGAATTTCTTTTATTATGAGTTTGAATATCTTTTCAAATGTATAAGAGATAACATTTCTTGTTCCATGTACTGTCCATACATTTCTTTTACATACTTTTGAATCTTTGGGCTTTTTACAAGTTTTTCTTAATTTGTAGGAGCTCTTTAATATTTAAAAAATTAGTGTGAATTGGTAACTACTTAGAAAAGTAGAGCTTTATGACACTGAGTTGCAAATATGTTCAGTTGCTGAAGCACACAGTATGTGTTCAGTATGTGAATCTCACACTTGCTCCCAATTAATCTGTCTCTTCCTTCCAATGATTTCAATAGGTTACAGAGCTTGGGCATTATCTGTTGGGCCAGAGCTGACACCACTCAATGGTAGAGCCTAGAGAGTTCTCTGTTTGATTCCTGTGCACTTCCTCATACTAAATCACCACCAGCATCCTATTTGTCATAGAAACTGAGGACTGGGAATCCTTTGAGTCTGAACTACGATCTACTATAGGAATCTCCCATTGTTTGCAATCCAAAAATCAGCATGTTTGACCTAGCCAAAGATTTGTTTTTCCTTGAGGTGATGTGTTGAACAGGGACACAAAATCAAATTATATTTCACTATAAATTTAACAAATCACCTTTAATTCAAATTATTACATGAATCAGTATGGCCCAAGAAATCTTGGACAGATGGTCCCTGTAATTCATATATTGGGGAGAAACACTGCATATGACAAGGAAATCAATACCATTTTAACTTCTCTATTTGGAAATTCTCTCTTCCCCTGAGCGAAAACTGCCTCTCCTTAACTTCCTCTCATTGATACTGGTGTCACTCTCTGGAGCTATGCAGAGAAACCTTAATACACTTCTGCGAAAGCCCTTTAAGAATTTGGGGGCAGAGATTACATCCCTCCTCAAAATCCTGGCCCAGCAGTGAGTCTTTTTAGTAAACTTTACTAACGTTAATTTGAAGATTGCACACTGTCCTGGACAATACTTTGGACATTTTGTTTGTCAGAGACCCTCGTAAAATATGGTGCTAAAATACTTGAGATTGACATGATCCTCTATACCCCATGTGAAGAATTTC